GAAGAATAGAAGAAAGATAAATTCGACGCCGAACTTCTGATGGAGCTAATCCGAATACACGACTCAGCGCACCCAGCTTGCGTCGGCAAGCAAGAGCAATGTCACTAGCATGTTCATTCCATCTAAGCAATGTCACTAGCATGTTCATTCTTCTACCAAAAGATGTGCTGCAAAATCACAGAGCCATACCTAAACTTTACTTTCAGAATTTCAGGCAAGCAAACTTAGACGAAAGATGAAAGAAAAATGAAAACTTTCTAAATTTAAAACGATTTCCTGTGTTAACAATTTGAAAGTAAGAAAAATTTGAATTAGTCATTTTGTAGTCCTGACTTCACTCTATCTTTTAGCTACTCGTCAAATTCTTTTTACATCAAAACCCATGGAGAAATAATCATTTTTCTGTCGGTTGTCACGCATTTTTTCATTAATTTTTTAAATTCTGCGTACGGTGGTGCTTTCAGTAAAAGCTCCATAACTCCATCAAAACAAAGAATTTTTTATCAAATTTGTTGTTGTTTTTATCACAAATGATTGCTCTTCTCTGCCTAACTGCAAGATCAAAGCTTCAATTATGTTTTCCGTTTCTTGCTTGAGCACATTGTTGGAAACGAGAAGTTGTCAATTTTTAACGTATTTTTGAAACTTCGTTCAGGAGCACATCTGCTGCTTTAAAGAAAAAAACCACTTTTTTTTATAGACCACAAGAAAGAGCACATTCGAAAGAATAATACACCTTGATACACGTTTTTACAGAAATAATAACGGAAGAAAAAAATGTTCAAGTCAAGAAAAATATCACCTTTACTCTAAATTTTCATATTTTTCGTCTTTCGTCTAATTTGCGTAGTTTTCTTGTTTGAAGTTCTGAAATTAAAGTTTAGGTATGGCTCTGTAGAGTATTTCGCGGCGCATCTTCAGGTAGGAAAAAGTTCTCAAAAGGTTCGCAATGGGAGATCTCATTCCGAGTCAATTAGTGGTACCATGCTGTAAGAAATAGTAGAAAGAACCGATTCTTATTCCCACCCGAACAGAGAGTATTTGAGGAATCGAGCGATTTTCGTGTCACGTTTTCATCATAGATTAAGATAATCTTCCGATAACTTTGCCTTTCCAAGAAAAATATCCATCTTGAAACCCTAAACTATGTCCTCTGTAGTACACGTTTTTTTGTTTTTGAAAAAACGTCGCAAGGATAGTCACACTGTTAAAAGAAAAAAAATTATTTTAGTTGCAGTCAGTTTGTTTCTTAAAGTAGTCTACTAAAGCAAAGAAAGTTAAAGTATATTGTAATAGATATCGCCATTAGCCGTTGACACATATGTATATCCTTTGAGTTTGCTTTATACTTGAAGTTTTTTATATATCTGCACTACCATTTATTCCACAAAAGCTTCTTTGGCCTATATATAAGAGAAGTGTCTTCTCTCGCTATCTTTTAAAATATGCTATTATAACTAATAAAAGAGTAAGAAAAGGAGTCTTGTAGTCGTTATTTGATTGCCGAAAGTTGTGGTCGTTATTTGTCCAATTCGCACGACATGAATCATTCAATATTTCACTCTTACTAAGGAGTAATATCCCAATGTTGTTTCCTTTTAGCTCCAAATAGGAGCTCCGAGGAAAGACTATCTGTTTCAATTCGCATTGATTCTGACTTCTTAGAGCTACTTTTTGGAGCTGAAAGGAGACAACAATATCTCTGAAAAAATCATGGTATAAGTATAAGAGTATCACATCAGGTTGTTAGTATCTTGGGACAAAATTAATTATTACACACTTCTGTCGTGATACTATCGCCATATTGGAGAATGAGTTTCGGTAGAATTAAGGTTCACTTGTGCCGTATAAGAACGTAACATTTTGAGGCTGAGTACGAATACACTTTTCAAAAATATAGTATTAAAACGATGTCGACATAAATGCTCGTTATACTGTACAAAATATTAATTTTTATGAAAATTTTACAAAACTGGGCTGATCACGTTTGAAATGACAGGTATTTTGTTTGCATTCGAAACAAGTTTTTGTGCTGCGAGCGCTTCGATTTTAATACTTTCTTCAAGTATAATTTTATTTGTAAGCTTGTCACTTGAAAACTTATTTTTTTAAAGTTTTATAAGAACAGGGTGCCAAAAAGCATTTTTTTTTCTCCATTTATGTGAGATTTACAGAAAACTGAAAATTAGTATTAAAATTATCTTATGTATGTATGTTTTTTTCTGAACATTTTTGTCAAAAAATCATTCTTCTATTTCTGCATAAGAAATCACCATATCTGAAACATTTTTGATTCGATACATACCATTCATGTGATACAGGGTGGGTCCCAAAAAACTTATTCCCTCTGTATTTATTGGCTTTCTTGTGTACAGATATAATTGAACTTTTTTGCCATTAGTTTAGTCGAGTAGAGCAAATATTTCTGGACAAAATGAGACGTCTCCGAGCTTTTCTCATGAAACAGCATTCAATTTACGGAAAGTCCCATATCACCAAAATCGGACAATTAACGAGAAAACAAGAAAATACGATCATTGCATAGGGCCTTCCGTAAATTGAATGCTGTTTCATGAGAAAAGCTCTGAGAGAGCTCGAAGACGTCTCATTTTGTCCAGAAATCTTTACTCTACTCGACTAAACTAATGGCAAAAAGTTCAATTATATCTGTACACAAGAAAGCCAATAAATACAGAGGGGGTAAGTATTTTTTGGCCCGCCCCATATTGTTTATTTAGCGATAATTTAAACTCGAATACGAGTAGAGAGAGTATTGAAGAAGAAAAATTAAATTACTTTGCCATGTTTTGTGAGAGATTGCACTATATACGCGAATATCTATTATTATATAATCTCTGTTACCACAAGTATAGGAAAACTAGCAGTGTAGCGAAAATACTCTACTGAAAAAAGAAACGAATATTTGCACTTTTAAATATTCGAAAAATCTTTATTCATAAAATATTCACATAAAGTGGTTAATCGGGAAAAAGTTTTCAATATAATGAATTTGCGTTCTTCTTTAATTTTAGATTGAACATGTTACCACATGGTTATCTTCCATATTACTTTTATTGTTTAATACTATTAATTTTATTTCCTTCAATATTGGCTGTTATTCGTATGAGTGTACCTAAATTATTATTACCCTATCATAATCGTATAGAAACAAATTTTACATTAGAAGCAACCGATGGATGTTTTCTATGGTCTTCATCTCGTCCAGATTTGGTTCATGTTGATCAATTATATTCAGTAACAAAATATGGTCAAATATGTAGTTCAAAAGCAAATGTAATAGCAATAGCCAAACAATCAATTAGAAATAGTGCCACAATTTATGCTAAAGATGTAATGACAAGTCAAACAGTTCGATGTGATGTAATTATTGATAAAATATCATCTCTAGAAATTGTTTATACAACAACACGTCTCTATTTGGAAGATGCACCTGAATTATTCAAAGTCTTAGCACATGATCATGTTGGTTCAACATTCTCATCAATTGATCATTTTCCATTTGAATGGAAATTATTGACAGATAATCATCTAACAACAACCGGTAATAACAAACATATTATATTCCTTATAGCGAATGGTCCATAAAGAATTGTGCCGTTAGTATTTTCAAATTTTTTCCTTCTCTTCCTTACACTTGATTGAGCTAGATATTTTTAACAAAAGATTTCTCGTTGCATTCTCTACAAAAAATGTATTGACTGTTTTATTGCAAAATCTGAAGGTGCAAAATGCCATGAGAAAATGTGAGAAGTACAAAAATGTAGAAGTTCTACAGTTTTTTTTAGTATTATTTGCTAAAAGTTTGTGAGAGAGGAGAGTTGAAGTAGTCACCGTGTATGTCTTGAAAAGCTCTATTTTCCATCTATAATTTAAATAATTTTCAGTTAGAATTGACGGTACAAGAATTTCATTATTTTTTGCTAATTTTTCAAAAAATGACGATTTTTTACCAATAATTTGAGCCTTTCAATAAAACAAATAAAGCTTAATCAAGCTTGATCCATTCAGGTTGAATTTTTTTAATTTTGAAAACAAATGATTAGTCATTATGATCGAATCTCTAAGATATAGAAAACAAATTCTGTTTGTTTCACTGCGCAAAAAAAAATAAGGTAACAACTTCAAGCTATTTTCACTTGAATACCGAGAAGTTAATCTTTGCGTTGGATATTTAGATTGGTATGTATGACTTTGGTCGAAAACTCAAAACACCGAAAGTGAAAACGCAGAATGGATAAGATTAAAAACGTGAAATGTAGAAAACAAAAACGACGAAAGTGCAAAAATGTCGGAAACCCCCAAATGTCAAACGGGAATACTACGAAAATATGAGTTCTGGAAGCGGACTGGTATCTCCAAAATATTTTTTGCTCATAGTTCAAATCAGAATAGTCATTTGCTATTCTGTTTCTTTGCATAATTAAAAGAAGTAATGTTCTCGAAGAAATTAGATAGAGAACAACACTTGTAAATAAAACAGAAAAATAGGTAACAGTTTTACGAAGGATTAATCGCCAAGTACAATACTTCTTTTTTCTTTTGTCTTTTGCAACAACAATTGGAACAAATTTTAAGAACGCGCCATTCGAATTTGTATGTACCTTTGCTAAACAATCACCTTCTTTACATGATCAGTATTTAGCTGCTGCTATTTTCTTATTGCATCAAAATATGTAAAAATTAAGAACCAGCATTTCTGTTCGTCCACTTGGCAATAGTAAAAGAATACTTTGTACAAATCTATCGCACTGAGTAGACTATGATCTATACTTATTGATGTCAACTCATCAAATAGAATGGGAAAAAATTATACAAACAAAATGACAGTTTGCACAGAAGATTTGCAAATCTCTCGACAAAACTATGAGCAAAAAATATTTTCGAGATACCAGTTCCGCTTCCAGAACTCACATTTTCGTCGTATTCCCTTTTGACATTTTGCACTTCATCATTTTTGTCTTCTAGATTTTAGGTTTTCGACATTTTACATTTTCGTCATTTTTGTTTTTTATATTTCACGTTTTTTACATTCTACTTTTCCATCTTATCCATTCTGCATTTTCACTTTCGGTGTTTTCAGTTGTCGAGATTCGACCATACATTCTTTAGACTCAAACGATTTTCACTTTACACGACGAGAAAGAGTGTATTTGAAATTACACAAAAATATACTGAAACTGTGTTTTAATGCTTGTGAAACAAAATTCAAAAATTTTCCTCTCTTTGAGAAAATACGTTTATTTTTTCTACGTTTTCTCATGGCGTTTTACACCTTCGGATTTTGCAATAAAACAGTCAATACATTTTTTTTGTAGAGAATGCACCGAAGAATCTTTTGGTACAAAAACTAACTCAATCAGGTGTAAAGAGGAGGAGAAAATTTGAAAATATTAACAGCACAATTCTTGTAATTCGTTATTTATGCTCTTTTCTTTTATCTCTATGTTTTTTAGAACAAAAGAAACGTTTGAGTGTATTGGATGCAACAAAAGTAATTCGTATATTACGTTTAACCGATTCATCGTACGAAATGAGTGATACAATTCGAGATTTAGAATCTCATGGTTCATTAAGTTATAAAATATTATTAGAAGGTTTACGTACCGGATCAGCAGTAGTTCAAGCTGAAATAATTGATAATGATTATTATCGTTCAATTCAAACAAAGACCGTTCGTTAGTTTTAAATGAAACATTGAATCAACTGCCAATAATAAACGTCGACGATTTGTTTTTAATGGTTCATAAGAACTAATTAATACTGATTGCTCTAAATTGTACGATTTTAATATTACACGAACATTTGTTAGACCAGATTTAATTGATTTAAATAGTAAAATGGCACAAGCCGATTGATCATCGCCATATTTTTCATTATTTGGAGATACAACACCTTTATATTGAAATATACCATTTGTTAATTGATCATCGTCTAATTGAACATGAAAATCTAATCGAAAACAACATGTTAATAAATCATGTTTAGACAACATTTTAACGGGTAAACGTAATGTATTTGATATTTCAGTTTCGACAGGACATGTTAACAATTCCATTTGATCAGGTTTGACAAGTTCTACATGAGCTGATGCATTTAGTTCTGGTGATTTTACATCAAATACTTGAACGATTGTTTGATTTGCAAGTCCAGTCTGTTCAATCAAATTCCCTTGTGATGAAACAGTAACTAAATAAAGAAATT